CTGTCAAGCTACAGCTGAAAAGGCCCGTGCAGTCGAGGGCTGCCTTAAGAGAAGCAGTTGCATCCAGATCAGGAAAGATATTAAACACATTATGCTCTTTGCAGTCTGATTTCCACGGGCGGCTATTGCATAGCCGGCTGGGGAATTCTGGGAGTTGAAGTCCATAAATCTTCCAAGCTGCCCCAGCTTAATACTAATACTAATACTAATAATAATAATAATAATAATAATAATAATAATAATAATAATAATAATAATAATAATAAAGTTGGAAGGGACCTTGGAGGTCATCTAGTCCAACCCCCTGCTCAGGCAGGTAACCCTATACCATTTTGGACAAATGGCTGTCCAGTCTCTTCTTAAAAACTTCCAGTGTTGGAGCATTCAGAGCTTCTGGAGGCCAGGAGTTCCACTGGTTAATTGTTCTAACTGTCAGGACGTTTCTCCTTAGTTCCAGGTTGCTTCTCTCCTTGATTAGTTTCCATCCGTTGCTTCTTGTCCTGCCTTCAGGCGCTTCGGAGAATAGCTTGACTCCCTCTTCTTTGGGGCAGCCCCTGAGATACTGGAAGGCTGCTATCATGTCCCCCCTCGTCCTTCTCTTCATTAAACTAGACATCCCCAATTCCAGCAACCCTTCCTTATATGTTTTAGCCTCCAGTCCCCTAATCATCTTTGTTGCTCTTCTCTGTACTCTTTCTAGAGTCTCAACATCTTTTTTACATCCTGGTGACCAAAACTGGATGCCGTATTCCAAGTATTCCAAGCTTGAGAGACACTGGATTAAACCTTGAAACTGCAGCTTCCAAAGGACTAGGGAAAGTGGGCCATCTGGTGAAGGAGACTTGGAGGTGGGAAACGGGCTATTTCCAGAAGCCAGTCCTCCCCAAAATTTAAAAAAAAAAAAATCAATCTCTTAATTAAGGGAAACAGGCAGGCTCACTTCCAGATGCTGCCACTCTTCTCTTCCACTCTACGAGAGCGAGAAAGATAAATGATGCAAGGATGCCATTTATGGAAGCAATAATTTACTCTGAGCTGTGACTGCATTTGACATTCTGGTGTCCTCCAGAACGGCCGACATCTGTCACTCCAGCAGTGATAGATGGGTGAACCAACCTAGCTTGGCCAAAGCTGGAAGTACATACTTTGGGCCAATCACCAGGAGATGGAGAGTTCTAGTCCCGCCTTAGGCATGAAAGCCAGATGGGTGACTTTGGGCCAATCACCAGGAGATGGAGAGTTCTAGTCCCGCCTTAGGCATGAAAGCCAGATGGGTGACTTTGGGCCAATCACCAGGAGATGGAGAGTTCTAGTCCCGCCTTAGGCATGAAAGCCAGATGGG